GGGGGGGAGAAGCTCCGCTGCGCCCCCCCCTTCTCAGGGAGCAAAACTCCGAGCAGCGAAATGAAGAGGGGAAAACCGGTGATTTTGGTCCTTTATAGAAGCTGACGGTAACGCGGTTCCTTCTCTTTGCAGGGATTGATTTTAAAATTAGAACTATAGAGCTCGATGGCAAGAGAATTAAGCTGCAGATCTGGTAAGGCTTTTCCTCTGAAGTCAACCGAGTTAGGGTGCGACAGCTTGGGGGGGGGCTTAAGGGGGGGGGCATCGTTGGGTTTTTACTCCTGTTGTCGCTCTTCAGCGGTTATGGGTGTCTTGGGAATAAAAGGATGGTTTAAGCGCACTTAAAGACTGGTTGAATAATATTAAATTAAAACTTTCGGTGGCTTGGACTTGAGCGCAGTGGCGTGGGTGGTTTGCATCAGCCCCCCCCTCCCCATGTTCCATCTCTTCCAGGGACACTGCCGGGCAGGAGCGATTTCGAACCATCACAACTGCCTACTACAGGGGAGCAATGGTAGGAGCGCGGCGGGGCAGACCGGCGGGGTTTAACGTGGGTTCCGGCGCCTAAGCTCGGCCTAGCTGAGTATTTGCGGTTGTGCCCCCGTTTCAGGCGGTGCTGGGGCGAGGCGGGAGCTCCTGGAGGCCGCGGCCTCCGCGCCTCGCTCCGTAAATACGCGTCCCGCGAGGCACAAACGCTCGTTGTGCAGGACGGTGACCCAGCTTATATTTTTTAAAGACGATCTTTGTTACGTTGCTCCTTCCTGCTACGGACACGTCTTTAACTCTTGCTTAAACTGAGCCTAGCTGAAATAATCTCTCTTTCTTAATCTTTAGGGCATTATGTTAGTCTACGACATCACCAATGAAAAATCTTTTGAAAACATTCGGAACTGGGTCCGGAATATCGAAGAGGTAATTTCTCTATTTACTGGCTGAATACCAAAGTTGCTGTTCCTTCCTCCAGAAGCAGCTGAAGCCTCGATGCTTCGCAGCTGTAAAGTTCCTTTTGAATTCACGTACTTGGAAAATAACTGGGATGAAAACCAGCGATGACTTCTGGAATGTCGTGGTTAGCGGCAGCTCGTTGTGCTGGCGCGCGGGGACCGAAGGGACGACGCGGCCCTGCCCCAGGGGGCACGCGCCTGCGGCGAGCT